ATATATATATATATATATATAATAAACGTTAAATAGTGCAGTTTTAAGGCACCACGTTAAAACTTTGACTAGACCACTCAAAAACTTTCAGGATATTTTGCTGGCATAAGAGGTGAACTTGCTGATATTGTTCTGCTGCATTACCCAATTTATTTTAAAGTTAAAATGTTTTGGTTTCCAGTTGTACTTAAAAACAGAAATCTTGTGCTGTTATTTGTTGTGTCGCCTTGCAGCAATACGACGGCATCAATCTCAGCTCCGCAGAAATGTCTGTTTTCTCCATGTACTTTGATTTCCTCCCACAGTGAAAAACATCAGCATGAAGGTTGTTTCTATAAAACTAATGTAGAAAATTAATAATCTCTAATTGAAACACATTGCTGTTTTCCTCTTTTTTTAATTTTTTTTACAGCATATATTTTTACATTTTCTTTTTAATGGTAAAAAACATACATGAATACAAAATGATGCAGATTTATAAGCAGATTCTGAGTCATGCATTACAAAAAGTCAATGCATTTGAGAGAAACTTCCTGGAAAATAAATCAATTGCATAAGCACCTGCAATCAATGATAAGATCTATAACGAGACACCTACACTAAAAAAAAAAACCACATGGTCGTTTTGACTCAGCAAACCATGAATAATAAACATTCAAAACAAAATGAGGAAATGGCATGATACTTGTTTCTCTTCAGTACAATAATAATGAAAGATGTAAGTACATCCTGTACAAGATTGGAGGAACCATTAAGTATCAAAAATATTTTTTTTTCTTTTAACAATAAAAAGTACAAAAGTAAGAAACTCCACTCATCTATAACAATTAAAATGTTTAAAATATCACAAGCAGTATTAGTCATTCAAAAAATTATTTTTGTATTGTTTTTTTGTTTTTTTTTGTCACTAACATATTACAAATCATTATACAAGAATCAGTATAAGGGAACAGAGCAGAAGACGAATAGGTGGATTGGTGTGGCGTTGTGAAGTTTACAGGTTAATCTACGTCCTCATCAATGGTCACGAGATCTTGGTCGAGACTTACAGAACGAAATACAGACACAAGCGTCCAAAATAATTTTTCTCTGCAGGGTGTCTGAACTCTCCCTTAGAATCATAAAACGTAGAATACCTGTTGGTTCATTTTGAAGTCGTTTCATTTGTTGAAACGACAGGGCTGATCCTTGAGTTTCAGTGCCTTGATTCATAGTTAAGAGGCATTACAGTCAACATTTCTGAGGAAAATTACAAGAAACTGAGCTAAAGATGGGTGAAAAAGCAGCCAGTCTAAAGAAAGATCTTGCTGGTTTAAGATCTAAGAGATTCCAAGAAAGTCTGGCTTGTTGAAAGAAACTTTAACGACTGAAAGATGACAAGTCCGTCATAGATCGTTGTTTTCTGAAACAGATGTTGAGAAAACAACGAAAACACAAAAATTGGAAAACACTGGTGCAGTATGTTGCCTAGTTTGAGTGGTTTCTTCTTTTCATCTTTAAAAATTCACATTTCAGATCTCAGCCGAGGTGCTGAGACTTTCCGCCTGTCCTGAATCGCCGTCTTTTGGACTTGACGTAGAAACTGAGTATTTCTTCTTCATGGAATATTCAGAGTTGCTGATGGAGCTGCGAACGGTGCTGCGACGCCGTGCCAACTCGGCCAGATCCTCGGCAAGGACACTCTCCATGACCGCTCCAAGGGAATGTTTGATTTTACGACACAAGTCAGGGCAGCTGAAGACGTACAGGATGGGGTTGAGGACACTGTTGAGGAAGCCAATCGTTGCTGATATCGGAAGGACTTTGGTTGCCACTTTCTGTGCAGAACTGCCTTTGGGAGCCATCACTTCTATGATAATGAAAAGGTGGTACGGAGCCCAGCAGAGGACAAAGGTCACCACCACGGCTATCACGAGTCGAACAAATCGGAAAGGTCTGCGACAACCTCTTTGTGCTAAGCTGGAATTCACAGCGACGTAGCTGAGAATGATGACTGTGAGAGGAATCAGGAAGGCAAAAAAGAGCTTCATAAAAGCCAAACCCACTTTGCGCTGCCTACATAGAGATGTAAGGTCAAAGGGTTCACTTGGGAGATAGCTGGTATAATCGTAGTAGCACAGACACTTGCCTTTTCCAAGGGGAATGACGTCACGGAACATAAAGAAAGGGATAGTGAGGAGTACAGCTAAGGCCCAAAGCACACAACAAACCTTCCCCACCAGCTGTATGCTTCGGTAGTTCTGAGCCCAGACGGGTCGCACCACCACCAGGCAGCGATCCAGAGAAATGGCAGCCAGCAGGAAGGCGCTGACAAACATGTTGAAGAAGAAGACGGAGGAATAAATGCTGCAGAAGGTCGAACCCAGGATCCAGCTGGTTCCGCTGGCATGGTAGAGAGTGTAGAAGGGCAAGGTAAATGTGGCCAGGAGGTCCGACGCTGCCAAGTTCAGTATCCAGATGCTGATGATGGAGCGATTCACACGGAAGCCCACGACTGCCAGGATCAGAAGGTTCTCCAATATGCCGATGACAGACACGATTCCAATGAAAGAGGCGTTAAAAATGTTCATTGAGGTCAGGTTTTGTGCGAAACATGTTTGGGTTTGCATAGAAGAGTTGTTGGGAGAAAGGCAGGTCACATCCATCTTGGAAGGAAGAGATTGCTTGGAATTTCCAAGAACTCTAAAATAAAAACACAAGTAATTAATCATGAGAAGTGATCACATAGTTTAAGCAATAGATTATGTGACAAAAACAAAAACTTGCATTACTTTTGAATACAGTCCATACAAGTTTTAGATTTACAGTTGTGGTAAAAATACATCCATTGTCTTCTGCCGAGCTAAGGGTGTTTTTACACCTGATAGTCCGGTAGACTCTGTTGGATTGGGGACCAAAATTCCAACATTTGTTACATTTTCAGCTGCTGCGGTGCACTTTCACACTTGGACAGCAGCGAACAAGATATAAACGTAAATAGAATATCTAGTGGTATTTCAAAACATGTAAATAATAACGTCAAAATTAAATTAATGCTAGAGGGTTGTAGTCTTTTAAGAGCAGGTATAATTTGAATGGTTTTAGTATTAATTGATTTGAAAAACTCTACACATATTAATAATAACAATAAAAAACGTAAAAGTTCTGTATCACCAAGGTCACATGTTTTTGTACCCAGAATGCATTGCTGTATAGCTACACTCTGAAGCTAAACTAAACTCTAAAACTGAAAGAGTGTGTACTTTCTTTTTTTGCTATGACTGTATCTACTATTGAGTTAATTTAGAAATAAGAACAGTCAGACGTGGACAGAGGATCCACAAAAAAAAGTACACCAGGAAAAGTAGTACTACTTCAACATATTTTTACAGAAGTAAGAGTAAAAAGTAGCCGTCCAAGAAATTACTCAAGTATTTGGTAAAAAGTTTACTCAAGTACTGAGTAACTGATCAAATTATCAATCATTTAATATTTAAAAAATTACATCATCAGATGGACCAAAATATAAAGTTAAGTGGAAATTTTGGTGTTTTAAAGATCAAAATTACAAGAATTCATATAAGTAATCAAAAATAACAAAATCAGCTAAATGAAATGTTTCCAGATCATTTTCTTGAAATTTAAAACATGTGAAACTTTAATAAAAACTGCAGGTCTGTGTCTGTTTCTGGTGGAGTTTTGGTTGAAACATGTTTGATTTTCATTCAGTGGGAAGAAAATCCAGAAATTTTATTCAAGTAAGAGTAGAAATACTTCATAATAAAATTACTCAAGTAAAAGTAAACAGTATAGTGTAGTAAAAATACTCCTGAAATTACTTTTTCCTCCCAAAAGCTTACTCAAATAAATGTAATTGAGTAACTGTAACTAGTTACTTGCTTCAACAACCTCAAAGTTGCTGTTTGATTAATTAATTTCCTCATAAGTGAACTGACACCCAGAGGTGTAAAAGAAATGGGTGTTTTTTCTCACTTCATGCTTCTGCTGTCACTTTCCTTCTAAGTTGATTTTAATATGTGTTTTAAAAGTGTTGGAAGTGTTTTTAGTTTTAATTTAAAACATCAATGACCAGTGAGAAGGCCGTTAGTTACAAAACCTGATCAGAAACATAAAATCCTGCTTTGCTGGTAAAAATGACAGGAAAAAACTCACATGTATAACAAAGATATTTGGTAACTCTTTATTTATTAAAGGGGCATGCATAAGACTCACATGACAAATTGAAATTCAAAAATACTTTATTAATCCCACAGGGAACTGAAATAACACTGTAATAAACATGACATAACACATGTTAAGAACATGAAGCAGTTTTTATGAATGTTTGTGACTGGTCTCATGATGTGTGACTCGATAAATAATGACTTTTTAAAGCAAAGTTGTACTAAAACTTCCATTAAAAGTCCATTAAAAGAGTCAACTTTGCATTAAAAGTGTCATTATTTACCAGTTGACAACTGTCATAACCGATCATAAAGACTCCTTCATGTTCATTACTGGTGTTATTTCATATTTATGGCAGTATTATGTCAGTCTTATGCACACCCCTTCAAATAAATGCTACCAAATATATTCCATAGCTTCAGTTTCTAAAACAAAGCGAGGCACAGATGTGGTTAAGGCATAGAAACCACAGGAATGACCTCAGAGACGTTATCTTTAACCTTCAGCTTGGTGTTTCACAAGCAGCTCTGTTGGCCTGATCCCAACTGTGTATAAATAAAACATGGACAGGAAATAGCATCTGCCAAAATAACCCGATGAATAATGGACAACTTTGGGTCAGAATTAAGAAATGATAATAAAAATAATAATGTTTGTTGCTATAAATGTCCCACAAATGAAAAAAATGTACTGAATGTTGTTTTTGTTCTTTGTAAGCTCATTAATTTTGTGATACTTACAGAGTAAAAATGAATTAATTTGTGGTATCAGAAGCTTATCTGGGTTGGGCTGAGTGAGGAAGAGGGCTGATCCAATCGCTGTGAAGATAAAACATAAGCTGTGATGTTCGCTCAGTTAAAACTCAATGCCTGTGGTTTATCAGTATCTCTACAAACCACAACATTTAGTTTTTATTTTTTTAGTCTCAGCTTTTGGAGGAGGCTTATTTTCTGTAGAAACGAACAATGCCTTGCAGGCTGCTCACATTCTGTGGGGTCGAAACCACAGGCCTCAGTTTATTTACGATGATATTTGACAGACAAAAGTGGTTGGATAGAGGAAGAAAAGTAACACTTTTTTTTTCTTACTGACGTGGTTTTTTATTCAACTCAAGTTGTTGTTTTTTGTATTTTAAATGTTTGGATATTTTTCTATAGCTTCCCTGAAGGTGCTTCCTTAAAAGGTGAGAATAACCAGCTGCGATAAACCAAACAGCAGATGTCTGCCAGGATAAAATGCATCATGCATTCCTCTCCTGCATGTTTTATCTGCAGCTTTACTCTGGCTGCACATCCTCTGCAGCTGAGAGGAGAATTCATTCGCTGCTGGTTCCCTACCTGTTCACATGTTCATCTCTCACTTCACCCAAAACCTCTGAATAATTATTCACAGCATAACAAGGCTTTATATCAGGCACACCACAAAGTAAGAAATGTAGTTTATATAACAGTATCGCATTTTATCTCAAAGACTTCCTGTTAACACACATTGAAATATCAAGAAGTTATTTACAAAAAAAATACGTTAAACAGATCAGACTGTAAATTATGTTGCTATTATTATAGCGTAAACCAGATAAAAACACAAAAATGTATGTCCGGACTACAGTTAACTGAAATAAATAGAGATTATCCTCATAAATGAGTCTGAAGGGCAGGAAATCATCAGAGTTTGTATTTTCCACCCGCTCTATTCGAACAAATGATGTAAAACTGACATGATAATTAGCTTTATTTTTAATTTTTTCCTGTTTTTCATGTTTTGTCTGTTCATTTCCAGGATGCATTTTTAAAATTTAAGGCCTATTAACGACACCAAGACAAATATTTAGCTGTCATCCCGTTTTGTTTTCACATAAGTGTTCAAGTTCAACCTTTTATTGCCATATACACAGTAGAAAACATTTTTAGCTGTCTGCAAGAGTGCCTGACAAGAAGTCAGAAAATAATAACAAATAAAATATTACAAAACACTTTCTACGAACACAAATAAGAAAGAGGAAAAATATGCATACTAAATACTGCAAATAAAAAATAAGCAGGGTTTTGTTCGTTCATATACAAGTGGGGAAGAAAGAGTCGCGTCATGCAGGTAAAAATTAAATTAAAATGCCTCACCGGTGAGCTGTGCGTGCTGCAGCACCTGCTGCAGAGTGATGCAGCTACTGACACTCGCAGGGGGTGTATTTAAGTAAAGCAATAGGAAGTCTAAAAACCTCAAGAGGAACAAAATCGTCACAGAAGAGTTAAAGACATTTAAGAAGAAACTACTGTTCGAGCTGAACCACGATGGGTGTAAGAAGAAACTCAAAGTATTTTTAAGAATATGCTTCACACTAATTCCACTTCCTGTTGATACTGATCTCAGGGTTTTGTTCTCTTTTATGAAGTTGCTCAAACGTTTACTTCATATACTCTAGACCCTTTCTGTGCAAAAGTCCAGGGTTTGTTTAAAAACTGATTGCATGGACATGTGCAGAAAACGAATGGGTTGCTTTCCCACCAAACACGTTCCAGTTCTGAACTGGTGAAAACAGAATTAAGGCAATGTGTTGTTCTTCTACTACTGGAGACAAGCAACGCTACAATAATGCTGATGTCAGAAAATATTCAACCACAGAAATTTGTTTATCAACCTGAGTGCTGATGCATCACTGAAGGTGTTACTTGAGTCGTGTATTTGCAAGAATGCAAAGTTTCTGCTGAAGAGCTGATGAGTAGCTCAGGTTTCTGGTTTGCATGTAATGTTTGCATGTTTTTGATTCACCAAGCCGTTATGGTTTAAGCATCTTTGCTGCCTTTTTCTTGCTAATTTGGCATATTTACGTTCGGTCATTACCTGACTGCTTTTAAAATTTACAGCAGGGTTTCTCAGGAGCTGATTGACATGCTAAGGAATGAATTCAGTATTTGATTTGTCTATAAGTTGCTGAATGGGAGCTCCACAGGGACTGGACTGGGTCACCACTTTCTCACAGGAGCACTTCTCAGTGCACTTCTGCTTTTTACCCTTTAAGTTATGGTTTAACAGTTTTTGTAAGGTTTTGTTTCGAAACTTGGAGTAGCTCGTAGCAATCAGTACATTACTAAAAGTAAACTTGGCAACTGTAGCTTGGTTGGGAACAGTAGTTTGATTATCCTTGGAAAACACTAAATCCCATGTTGCTCCATGTGTGTACATATGGAGTAATGTGATTTTTTTTTTAAAATCAGTTAAGATTAAACATTTATTTGTATTTCAACTGATAGCAATACCACTGTATTTGACAAAAGTATATTTTAAAAGACTCTTCAGGCACATCCTAAGAGAAACATTAACCAGAGTGAAGTTTACAGTAAATCAGAATCAAGCTAACAGCTAATCAGAGTCAGATTATGTCAGGTTAACTGATAATAAAAGTCAGGCTAGCAGCTAATCAGAGTGAAGTTTACAGTAAATAAGGGTCAAGCTAACAGCTAATCAAATTTAGGCTAAAAGCTAACCAGAGTGACTTTAACAGCTAGAGTCTGGCTGGCAGCTACTCAGCCTGCAAGTCAAGAATGGTACAAATGTGTCTCAGCTGCACAGACGGTTAATGCAGATGGAAAGATTTAAAAAAGGACTTGGGTGAGATTTTGACTGCTAAATAAAAATGTTATCATAATCCTAAATGCTAGGTGCAACACAAAGCATTAGCCTTTTAATAAACACGTTCTTTGATTTAATTTTAAATTCATTGCACGTAGGACCAAATTCAGACTCAGCTGCATCCATTTAGGCCTGAAGGCCTCTTTCAGCGTCAGCACTGTTATAGTCATAATTTGTTCTCTCGGTGGTGATATTTCCGATGCAGAAACTAATGTCTATACACCAAAGAGGAGCAATATGGGTGTTGATTTGGTTGTTTTTGAGTTTTGCTTTCTATGTGACAAAATGCACCCAAACCCACAAATGTCTGGTTTATAGAAGATCAAATACAATGATTAAAATCTATTTAAAAGGGGTGGAAAGTTGATATTTCAGCTGCATAACTTGAGCTGTGTAGTTTCCTGGTTTAGTTGTGAATTTCCAAAGAAGTGCATCTTTGATACCTCTACCACTTATTTGCATCAATGACTGAATATATTTTAGCATCCGGAAGTTACTATAGATGAAAATGTGTGATAAATTAATTCAGTTATGGTGTAAAGAAAGAACTCAAATGCAGACTAATCTAACAAATGATCATTTACAAGGTCCTTCAGGACTTCAGGGCAAAGGCAGCAGCAGCATCTCCTGAGGCAGAAGATAAAAACGTCTGAGGTTTGACAGGAAAGCTGAGGGTCGCAGGAGGGTAAGATGTCTGTTTGGCTGGGAGAGGAAGAGGAGGATGATGAGCTCGTTCCTGAACTGAACTTAGTGAAGAATGTTTACAGCTCGTTTGCTCGAAGATCTCCTTCATCCCTGACCGTCCGGTTCTCTGTAGTTTATCCTGCAGCTTCTTCCCGTACTTCTCCTTTCTTGACTTTGAGCACCTCCTGTTTACTCCTCTCTGTCTCACTCTTTCTTTCTCGTTTAACAGTTCCTTGTTTAGCTCACTGATGATCCAGGGTTTGTTATTAGGGAGGCATTAATGTGCTCTCTGTGTGGCTGGCAAAGAGCGATCCAGTCCGTGGCCTCACAACAAAACTGCAGGGCTCCTTCAGCTTCCTGTGAACTCTTTCTCGCAGTTCTTTTTGTTGCAGATTGCCTCTGAACAAGGTGTTTACTTTCTGAGCAGAGATTTTGCCTGAGGAGATCTTGCTTTGGAGATCTATGAATCCGTGATATTTTCATAAATCAAACTCTCTGGTAAATCAGCTCACAAACTGATGAAACGTTGGCAGTGTAGCAGAGAGTGGGTTATGATCAAAATCACCAGATATCACCACAAATGCATTGAGATGCTGTGTCTGTAGCTTAGCAACAGACGACATCACGTGCATTATCTGAGGGTGGGATGTAAACAGCTGCCAAAATAATACTGCTGAGCTCTGTTGGTAAATAACTTACAGAGGGATGCTGGAGTAGGGGATGCGATTCTGTCTCAGTGAAGCAAGTTACACTGAATTCTCTATATTCTTGCTGAGTTCTTGTCAGGGCTTGGAGTTCATCCATCTTGCTAGCTAACGATCTCATGTTGCCCGTTATGATGGATGGAAGAGATGACTCTTCCTCTTCAGCTCCTCTGGGATTTTGTGGCTCCAGTGGTGGCATTATTTCAGCTTTTGCTCGACGTTAGTCACCTCCTCCCTGTTGTAAACCACCCCGTTGCTATGGTTACACATCGCAACAAGTCAGCAGAGTAGTAAAAAGTGAAAGCAAGCATGCGTCCAACTGCACAGAATACAAAACCAGAGAATACTTTTTTCAAAATTGTAATTTCTTTCTGCCTGAAACGGAGGGATGGAAGCCCCAATTCTAGAAACAAGAAATATAGATTCATAATATAAATATTATGTTGACTCAACGAACAGAACGTGTGAAGGTGTATCAGAATGAGAGGGAAACTGAAAAGGACATCCAACACAACCGCCTCAGAGTATTTAAGACAGAGATGAAGACAGCGTCCAGTTCTCATGCACAGGCTAGTTCTCCAGTGATGTGCATTTTGATAGAGGCTGCTCTGACCATGGCTTTGTGGTGTAATCTGAAAGCACTACTGCGGCTAATGACTTGCAGTCGGTTAAAAATGAGCAGACTCGATGGTGACATTTCTCCGTTGAATGTTGGCTCATGTTGTGTCGCAAGAAGTCAGGAGAAAGCAAGAAGTTAGAAAACAAAAGGTCTAGCAAGGCATCCAAGTGATCACAGACAAGTACTAACAGTGTCTAACATTATAACTGTTGGTAAAAAAAAACCTTCTGGGCTGGATAAACTCAAACTGCATTCATGTGGTGTGGGAATCACACTGCCACCTGCTGTTGGGTTGGTGTATCGACACCACTTGGACTGATGCCTTTCTGACATACTCTGTTTTCTTCCAAATGTAGATTATTTTACTTTCTTTTGGATAAGTGTCATAAGCATATCAATTAAGTGTTAATGAGAGAAAGTGTGAAGGCTTTACTTCTGCTTTGAGGCGTGTAGCAGTTTATTTTGGGGTCTAAACTGCAGCACTTGCTGACTGGAAGTGCTCTTACACAATGCAGAAGGGGAATTAGCCACTACCCTTTAATTTCTCTACTCGGTACTCTGTGAATGTCTGCAGGCTGTTGAACTTTGGTCTTCTCCTCCAGCACAGCGAAGCAGCTCCACTTACTCTGACTTTAAATAAAGCAACTTTATTAGCTCCTTATGTGGAGACCCATCCATGTGTAACAGGGTTTTATTTAAAAACGTTATTATAGATGTGAAGTCTGTCCAAATTGGGTTTATTTACTCTTCAAATTGATTTTTGCTGTTATTTTCTCCTGACTTTTATTGCCGTACAGGCTCCTACGCTGCTTTTGGCAGTTGGTGGTTACCGTAGCAACCGACAGCTCCTCCCCCTGTTTTCTGATGCCGTTTGAAACTGCGTCTGTTTTCACGTGAGCAGTATTATATTTTTAAGTACAGTACATTTCAGACACATTTAATTGTATGCAGAGTTTCATGTTTAATTTTGCTATTTTTTTTTTTAAACTGTTAAAATTAATGTCAACTGTGTTACAACTGTTATCTGCCATCAGCTACCTAATGGGAACCATTGATCTGTAGTCTGTTCGGGGTTATTTATTCTATTCTATTTAATGTATTAAGAAAGAAAGACTGGGCAAAAATAACATGTTAGCAACTGCCATGACAGTGAGTTATGGTACCTACCAAGATGGCTGTCAGCTACAAAGCTTCTTGAAGTGTGACGTCACTTGTAGTGTTGTTTAGATTTGCTTTTCAACCTTAATAAATGTAACACTGACCAACATATTTGATGTTTGTTGATGATTTTGATGATGGCAGTCGGCAAAATTTTATATTTGTTACTGGTTTTTCAATTGGTGACCATATGTTGTTTGTATAGCTTTTTAACAGAGCAACTTAACTGCTTTGTTGCCAAAATGTGATATACAGGTAAACTTGATTGGTTGATTAATTGTATTTTCTATTTACTGAAGTTTTTGTCATTACAAGTATATTTTTTCTTGTAAATTTACATTTTTATTATGCTATTATTCTGGTAATAAATAACTAACAAACACTCCATCGTAGATTTTTGTATTTGTTTCTGGGGTGTTAAATTCAAAACGACACCAACACACTAACTAGGGGTGAGATGGGGAAGGGGGGGTGCAGAATGTGGGGCCCCCTGTTGGCCCTCATTTATCCGAGAGCCGCCACTGCAGACAGCTGCGCACACAGTGACACAGAGGAATGTGGAAGGATGTCACGGTGACACGCATGAAGGGAGAAAGCACGCAAACTCCACCAGAAACAGCCGAGATTTGAAGTCAACAGCTGCAGAGCTCATCCCAGCCTCTTTCACAACATTTTAAGACCGTGAGATTATTACCAAACAGAAAAGAAATACCAGCAGTAAAACAAAAACATCTGCAAATATGAGCTATTTGGCGTGTTGCGCAAATGAAGTCAAGCTAAACCTCAAGTGTCCCCTCGGATGTAACAAGTTAAAGTTTTACTTACTGGAAAAACTCTGTGTGATGAAAGTTGGATGACTCGGGTCTTTCCGCTTCAGACTGTCTGCGGGTTCGTGTAAAAAACAGGCGTTTCCTCAAAACTTGCTGATCATCCAAATAAAAGTTCTGCTGAAGGGAAAACGAGGGAGAAAAAAAGTTTTTTCACGTATTTCCATCAGTTGATTCACAGATAAGAGGCGATCTTCCTGCCTGGAGAGGCGTGAGGAATGTCAGGAGAGATTGCTGCAGAAATCATAATTTCTGCTGTTTCAGGCTGAGACGTTCAGCTCTTTAACTCTAAAATCGGTGCAGAAGATGTTTAATGATGGCATTTTACTTTTGTTTCGGTTGCTGCCCCCAGGGGGCGCCACAGCAGCCAATCTGCCTCCATCCCACCCTGTCTGTTACACCAGCTGGATATAAACATTCTCATATTTTGGATAAAAATTCTTCTTAATTGGTTGTTTTAATTAATCAGAGAATTAGCATTTGTCCCCCTTTCCTGCCAGTGTTTGTTATATTCTTTCTAGATGACTTTTAATCAGTCATCATGGTGTCCAAAGTGAGGGTCGGGGGCCATTTGTGGAGCTACACATTTGTCATTCTAGTCAAAACTTTTCATCAGCGACAAACTTAATTATTCTATAATATAAGCATTGCCTAATGCCAATAACTTTTCTCTTATTAGCCGTGTTTTCTTTTAATTTTAATTTCCTAGTAAACGAATGTCCAGCAAGTTTAGACTTTAAAAATAAAAAATAGAGCATTTTTATTGTTTTAAACCAGGATAATAAAAGAAGCATTTCTTTGAAGAAAGTACTTATTTTTATTGCTGGGAATAAACAAACAACAACAACAACAACAAAAATAAATAACTGAAAGGGTTTAGGAAACTGTCAAAAAAAAGTTGCCACTTTGTTTCATTAAAATATTGCATGCTTAATTTATTGATCAGCATATTTAAAAAAAACAGCAACAAACAATTCACAACCAAATTATTTTTCTTCCATGACATGCATGATGACATATGCCATGATTTGGTAACATGATAGATGACATGGCGTATGTCACAAAAACTATCTCATCCATCACAAACCATGGCGAACGTCACTACCACGATCTGAGCTTTGCTCTGCTGTGTTTTTGTAACCTGCAGGGACTGCAAATGCGAATCAGTTTATGCTATAATCTGGTACAGCACATCAGTTGGTGGCATTTATGTCTTAGCTGCACATTATCACTTTATAAATAAAATTTATATTAAAAGAAAGATGCTGCAGAAAGCGCTCCATAATGTTCTCAAATTAACCACATGCGTGTCTGAACATGTGACGACACATATAAACCAAATGTCCGTTTCTATTAACTGTGGCATCATGAAAAGCTCACCTTTAGTTTTCTATTTTCATATAAAACTACCCTCATTTTCACAATTGTTCAGTTCTAACTTTAAGTTGCTGTTCACAGGTTCAGGTGAGCTGTAAGATTTTCAAAAAATAGGGGAAAAAAGCACTTATACTGGTTTGTGTTTGGTTTTCACTGGAAAACACCAGTCACTACTGCGAAGCAGAAACATGTCTCACTTCTGCTCTTCTTTACTTCCAGATAGTAAAATCAACCCAAATGGTTTTGTCATGCTTTAACCCAGAGGAAACATGAATCTCCATATTTAAACTGAACTTCCAGCTTTATATATCTGCATGTCTCAGAGAAACAAAAAGAGACTTACCTAAGATTTTAACTGGTCCTCACTAAATGCACAAGAGAAAACTCTTTCTCTTGTGCATTCACAGGTCTGAACAACTTGTGCAAATCTCCAAAAAATGAAAAGCAATTCTAAAAGAGAAAACCTCTAAACACACAGAGAGGAAATCCTATCCAACCGTGACCTGCTCACAGGAAAAGTAAGAAATGTTCACTTGCTTTTTCCTGGATTCAAATAGGAGTTCCCTAGAGAGCTGAAATTTGAATAAAAAACCATCAGCACATCATGCACACCACCGTAGACTTAGCAGAGCTAAAACAAACAAATCTTCTAAGTTTTACACAGGAAACATTTCACAGAACCTTCTTTCATTCTCAGGGTGAATTGTGGCAAAGGCTTTTCATTAATGCCATAATCCTTAGAAGCAGTTTGTCAAACTTTTCTGAGAATCACTGAGGGAGGTGTAGCACCACTTCAATCTATTTTTACTCCAGCAGAAGTAAAAAGTAATCAAACTACACAGATGATATGCAGCTCTACCAGGGGACCACAAAGCCTCTCAAGCGCTGAAAATGAGGTACCATAACATTTGTTTACCTCAATAAAAACAGAACTGAAGTTATTATCTTTGGACTTAAAGAGGAACAATCTAGAGCACATGTGTCAAACTCAAGGCCCGTAGCTTTTTATGTGGCCCTCTCCAAAGGACATCAATAAGCTATTTATTGATATTTTAGCAGATTAATTGGTTTTATCAATATATTCTGGCACAACCGGCCCTTTAAAAACATTCAGATTTTTAATATGTTCCAAAATGAAAATGAGTTTGAATGCCCTGATCTAGAGTCAGCACACAGCTCCAGTTATTACAGCTGGAAACATTCAGAGCCACATAAAGATGGCTACAAAGCCGGCCTTCTGTCACCTGAAGAATATTTCCAGGATTCTCTAATCCTGGAGATGATTAGAGAATAATTTTTCTAATCATTTCAGTCTCTTTCTATGTCTCAGAAAGATCTAGAGAAACTCATCCATGCTTTTCTCTTTAGTCGTACTGATTACTGCAACAACGTCTAAAAAAGATCAGTCAGATCCAGAACGCTGCTGCTGGAGTTCTGACTAAAACCAGGAAGTTAGAGCATATCACCCAGTTCTACAGTCCTTCACAGGCTCCCTGGAGCTCAGACTTTAAAATACTATTGTTAGTTTGTAAATCACTGAACGGCTCAGCAGCACAAAGTTCTGCTGTTGTCATAGCTACCTTCCAGACCCCTCAGGTCTTCTGGTTCTGCTCTGCATCCCCAGAACCAGAACCAAACATGCAGAAGCAGCATTCAGCTTCTATGCACCACAAATCTGGAACAAACTTCCAGAAAACTGTAAAACAGCCGAAACACTGATTTCCTTTAAATCTAGACTAAAAACCCACCTGATTAGAGCTGATTTTGAACATAATAAATGAAACGTTAATCAATATATTTGATGTTTATTGATTATTTTAACATTCCACAAAGGATGTTTACTTACCTCATAATTGGTATATTTGTATATTTTCATGTTAAAGCTCTTTGAACTGCGTTGTTTCTGAAATGTGCTGCACAAATAAACTTGGTTTATAGAAAGCGTTTATTATTCAGGTGTTTTCTTTGCTCCAATAAAAACTACATCTCAGATAAGATGTGTCATCACTTTTCAGAAGTACTATTATGACATCAAAAACGATTTCAGGAGAAGTTGCTCATTTCCTCCTTTTTGTGTGTCCAGTTGTTTGAGCAATCATTTCTGCAGCGTTATCTTGCTTTCCAGTGAAGTGCAGAGTAACACCTGGAGCTGTGATGCCGCAAACCTCACTGCAGCTGCAACCCGCTGGCCCAAATCTCATAAAATACACTAAATGTTCTTTTGGTTGTGATTTTTTAAGTGAAATGAAAATTAATTGACTGCTGATGTTAAACGGCAGGAAAGGTAAAAGGGAGAGGGGTGTCCAAACTGTGGCGTGGGGGCCATTTGTGGCCCTTTGGCTGATTTGTTTGTGGTTCTACATTGATGTTAAACATTTGATCCGTCCTGCAGACGTGGCTGATGCAGATGGAGAGTTTATATTTTTACTCAGGGTATCATTATCACCAACATAATGATACAAAACTAATTAAAACTAATATTTTAACCATGTTTATCCAGACTGTTTTACTGAAATACTGACTTTTCTGCACCCAAATAAGCTTTTATTTAATTTATTAGACTTGATTAAATATGGAAAGCATTTTGATCCTATTTTTACAAGTGAGAATAAATTTGTGCAAATTCCTTTCAATGTAGCAAACATGCAAAAATCCTTTTTACATTCTGGATCAAACGTCAGTTTCCGTCAAAACTGGGTAACTATTTATCTAATTTTAGTTTTTATAATTATTATTTTATTGGCCTGCGCGTTCCTTTGACTTAGTGAATAAACTTTGGACACCCTGTTGTAGGACGTAGATTAGTTTGTTTGTGGCAATGTAAATATGTAATATTCTAAAATTACTTCATTTAGTAATCTAATTTAATTAATTACACAACTGTAACTTTGTGCAAAATCTTTTGTTGTTCTGCTTTATTACAGTTTAAAGTCTCCATAAATGCCAAACTTCTTATTACCCAAGTTTTTCTGACTTAGATTCAAATTCCCTAATGGGAATTATTTCACAAGTGAAAATGAGGAGGTTAAATTCATAACCGCTGCACCTGATGTATCATTTTTCACTTCAAGCAGTTTCACAATATTAACCCACACTGCAAAAAAAACAACAAAATATTACCAAGTATT